AAGAAAGAAAGAAAGAAAGAAAGAAAGAAAGAAAGAAAGAAAGAAAGAAAGAAAGAAAGAAAGAAAGAAAGAAAGAAAGAAAGAAAGAGAAAAACAAACTCCTGTACAACAAAGCAGCTACAACAGAAAAAATACAACTTACTGCCCAGAAGCAGCTGGAAGTTGACTTGGGGAGACGAACCTACTTTCCCAGATGTAGAATTAGGAGATGTAGAGAGAGAGTAGAAATCTTGAGGAAGTCCAAGTTGTACTATGGTTCTGGTCAGAGACAGGGGACACATCTGAATTAGCTAGGAGCTTTTGAGGCCAGCAAGATGCTCAGTGGGTAAAAGCACCTGCCACCAAGCATGATGGCCTCAGTTTGATCTCTGAGATCCATCTGGTTGATCTCTGACAAGGGGGAGGGAGAGAGGGAGGGAGGGAGGGAAGGAGGGAGGAAAAGAGAATAAATTGTAATTTTTTTTAAAGAAAAGAATAAAAGTGGTTGGAACACAGAGGAGGTAAGATGCAGATGATGTCAGCAATTCAAGGCTGTACAGCCAGGCCAGAGGACACGAGTTAGAGCTATCTGTTTACAACTTACTGAAGACTGGTGTACCTCTGCCATCAGGCTCTGCCAGAGGTTCCTAACCAGAGACAATCAGCCTCTCAGAAACATTTAAGCGAAATCTGGAGACATTGGTTGCCACTGGGGTGTGCTATTGATATCTTGTGGGCAGAGGCCAGACATGTGGCTAAATCCCATGCAATTCATAAGATAACCCCTGTTCAAGCTTGCTTTTCTGTTGCTGTGATAAACAGCATGACTAAAAAGCAGCTTGGAAGATATCAGTGTATTTCCAATTACAGTCCACCTTCAGGGAAGCCAGAACAGGAGCTAAAGGCAGGAACTGAAGCACAGACTGAGGAGGAACTCTGCTTCCTGGCTTTCTCCCAGGTTCACATTCAGTTACCTTTCTGCTGTAGCCTAGGTCTATTTGCCTAGGGATGGTACTGTCCACAGTGGGCTGGGCCATCCAACATTAATCAGCAATCAAGAAAATACTTCACAGACAAGCCCACTGGCTAATCTGATTAAGGCAATTCATCAAAGCATGTTCCCTCTTCCCAAATGTGTCAAGCTGACAACCAAGATTAGCTATCACAGCCCCCAACAACGAAGAATTAACATCTTCCTCATGTATTCAAAGGCTGCGTTAGCACAGAGGCACTGATGGGAGATGTTTGTTCAATTACACAGTTTCTAGAATAAATCATGTAACAGATAGTTGATAACTATTTTAGGAACAAATGATAAAGCAATGGCCATCATTTGTTGAGCTCTCCCTGTGTGTGATACCCTTTTTTTCATATGCCAATTAATGATCACACAACTCTCAGAGTTAGGGCTGTAATCTGCATCTTGTTTTCCAGATGAAATCTAGGAGAACCAGGCAGGTAAGTCACTCTCTAGGAAGAAAAGCAGCTGGTGTGGAAACCCTTGCTTATCTGACGCTAATATTCATTTTATTATCAAAACCTCCTCTGTTTTCAAAGGAACTTAAATTGTTTTGGCCATAATCAAATTTCCAATTACTCAAATGCTGGAATAAGCTTTTATGAGCTTCATAAACTATCCTCCCTCTTCTTATTAATTAATTTATATTTTGTTTATGGCCACTCTCCAGGCTTGCTATTGCTATACGAACATAGAATTTATAAAGTACCACATTAGGCCAGAGCATTCCACTTCTTAATAGCAAGATATTCAGCAAAGTATTCCTAGGTTTTATACATAGATATCACCAGTTGGAAGGTGTGCTTGATGCTATTTCCCCAGATAGGGAACTCCTGAAGGATGTTTGAACAAAACATTGCCACTCCTCATTAAAAAGAAATCTCACTCTATTATTTTTTGGGGAAATGTAAACTGGGACACTCTCATTTTATTCCCTGATTATATTGCTCACTCAGTAGCTTTAGTTCGGAGGAAAAAATATTGAGCAAGATGGAGGAAACTCAATAGCAACATACAGGAGGCTCTGAAAGAGTGTATTCGGTCATTCACCCTCATTTGCATGACTGATAGTTGATTGCTTTCTGAAAGCTCTAAAAATCCAAGCCAAAATTATGAAGGAGTCTGCTTTAAGCATCGTGGGGACTTTTGTCACACTACAGTGCTACCAGCAGGTGTATAGGATGGTCAGATCTTACAAACAATTCATAAAACCCTTGTTGCACTTTCTGCCACCTGGCCCTTGCCTACCCTTTCCCCCAGCTCTTGGCCCCACCTACAGTCCTAGTCATTGGCTGAGTGTGCCAGAAGAGCGACTTTTCTGATGTTCACACCTCAGCACAACTGTACCACTCTCCCAGGTGAAAACCAGTTAGTGCTGGAAGCACCGAGTTCCTCGGGCTTTCCCAGGTGGCCCTCTCCAGTCCGCGGGCATCCATTGCTTGCATTTGCTCAGTGACTGACCCACACAGTGAGCCAATCTATACTGAGCCCTATATTAGGAGCTGACAAATAAAGTTCCAGCTTTCGTGGAGCCTGCAGTTAAGGGGAGTCTAGAGAAATTCGTGCCTCTTAGAAATGGATGTGGGGGCTCACAAGATAATTATCACATAATTCAAAGTATTTGGCAAGGTTGGAAGTTCTACGTCTGCAGGAGGATGAACAGCCATGTGGGATCAAGCAGGTAAGGGTTTCCACTGGCCTGTTATGCAGAGCTCCCCGTGCCAGGCTTTGAGAGAGGCACAGCTGCTGATAAGCAACGTGAAAGTTTTAGGAAGCCACAGCCTTGAGCACATATTTTGATTTCAAGAAGTGCTGACCCCGAGGGAACTGGAATTTCTGTTAAGTGGCTTCTTTACAATTTTTAAAAATGGAGTTTTGTCTTAGTCAATCCTTCTTTCATAGAAAAGACAGCACATTTTGCTTCCATTCGCCATGTGCCTTACCTGGAATCTCACACTGTAGAGATTTGTATCTCTTCATGTTGTTTCTGTATTTTTTTTTTTCCTCCTCAGCAAGGAAAAACAAATTGTGAGTAGCCCAGTATCTTGCTTACGTTTGGATTTGAAGAGTCCATTCCAAAGCCTGGGACAAGGAAGACCTTAGTACATGTGTGCATGGCCATCTGGGGTTTTCTGTGACAACTTAGGAGAGTCCACTAAATAAAGTAACAACCCATGGCTCTATTTTATTTTTTGGCTTAGTTTTAAAAATTGCACTGATTCTTGCTCTGTGGCAAAGCTGACTAAATTCACCATCCCCCTTCAGCCTCTGGAGTGCTAGGATTATTGACATGTAGTACCAGGCACAGATCAATTTTTATTAAAAAAAAAATCAACAGCAACCCAAAATTGTGTCTCTCCAGGTTTTGCCTTAACTTTTGTTCATAAGAGAAAGATAAGCAGCTTGGCTATTCAAGCTCATCTGGTTTCTCCAGTTTAAAACATTTCAGTACTTTCTACACATGTGGTACTGAATACATATGGCTATTGAGCATCTGGAAGGGGACAGAAACAGGGAACGGTGGCGAACACCTGCAATCCTAGCATTCAGGAAGAGGTGGCCGGAATATCAGAAATTCAAGGTCATCCTTGGCTATATAGTGAATTCAAGGCCACCCTGGGTTACATGAGACCACACCCATACCCTCCCTCCAAAGAGAGAGAGAGAGAGAGAGAGAGAGAGAGAGAGAGAGAGAGAGAGAGAGAGAGAGAAATCAGTAGAACCAATGAGTTGACTGAATTGAGGTACGGTAAAGGAGATCCAATAAATTGAAATACGAAAGTTAAGCTATCTGGTTAATACCACATTACTTACATACCAATGTTTCCATTATATTGGGTTCAATATTCAAAATTAATTTTACCTGTTTATTTCTACTTGGGGGAAGGGTTGTAAGGTAGAGTCTTATTAAGTAGCCCAGGTTGGCCTTCACTTGGAAATCCTCTTGCCTCTCTCTCTCAAATTCCTGGATTACAGGAACTAACCATTTCAGCCAGCTTCTTTTTATTTTGCAAAATGAGGCTACTCAAACACTGTGTGTGTGCGCCTGTGTGTGTGTGTGTGTGTGTGTGTGTGTGTGTGTGTGTGTGTGTGTGTGCAGAGACTGGAGTTCAGTGCCTTCCTATAAGTTTTCCATCTTATAGTCTGAGACAGTCTCTCACTGAAGCTGGAGCCCACTCAGTTCAGCTAGATGGGGTGGTCTGCAAGCCCCAGGTGACCTGCCCATCTCTGTCTCCCATGTGCTGGGATTACAGGTGTGTGTGGGTTAGCCTTGCATGGCAAGCACTTTATGACTGAACCCCCTCCCAGCCCTAACTTGAGCATTTTAGTTGCACCTTATATTCCTGCTGGGCTCTGCTAGTCTCCATTTTTGGCCTTCCTTTCCCTTGGCCCTTTATCTCAGGACAATGCTTTGGAGGAATTCCTCCTTTATTCTGATATTTGCAGTGGAAGTCCTGAACACTGTGCATTCAGCTTCATTTACCTTGTACCTTCATATCCGAAGATGATGTGACCTGAAGATGGCTGGGAGGACACATCCTTGCTCCCCTCTTCTGCTCTTCCCCAAGGTCTCCTTTGGCAGCAGGGCTTCCCAGTTTCTCTTTTGGGAAGATCTGGTTTTGCATCACTTCTTTCTCCTCTGAAGCATTTGGCTTCAGCCTCTTGGCCTGATTTTCATGGCAGAAGGGCTGCAAAGGGAGACAAGCAACTTCCTCCCGAGGAGGTATTTCATGCTGCCATCCCCTCCAGATTTGTTTATTGATTGAACGAGAAACCCAAAACATTGAGCTATAACTGGAGTTCATCTCACGGGAAATAACACTCAACTGCATTCCACTTTCTGTGGTCCAACATCATGGAAGAATATCATGCTTTATCACCATCTCCTCCACTTTCACAGCTTGTGGATTGTTTAGAGAGAGGATGTTGTAGTTAGCCTCACAAGGACATAAGCTTTCTTGAACATTACTCCATGAGTAAATATTAGGTTTACAGGTACAGAATGAGTCCGCAGGTAAACAGAGCCATTTACAATTTTTCCAGGATCTTAGAGCTAAGCAGTGGGATTTCTGAGCTTTTCCTTTTGTGACAAAAAGAAAAAAGGAAAAGAAAAAGAAAAGAGAGGATCCCCTCAGAGATGTTTTACTTATTTCCTGTCACTGAGGGCCTCAGATTACATACCCGATGTCATTCTTCAATGTGCAAAATTGAATATTTAACTCATCCACAGGCACAGAGATATTATTATCAATTATCAAAGGCTGATTATTATCAATCCTTTCAAAAGTACCATGATGAAAGTCTATTCTTTTAAAAAAAAATGTCAACTGGTGGCTCGTGGAATTTTCTCTGCTCTTTTGATGACTGATCTGTGGTCCTGTGGTACTATCAATAAGCTCTTTCCTGTAGTATTCACCCCACCTCCTCCCCTGGCAAAAGTGACTAGTGTGACGGTTGTTGTTTTCCTCAAAATGAGTTCAGATTGTGAATGACGCGAGTTCATCACAGCCAAACCAAACCTCTCTTTTAGTTGCAGATCTCAAATGCCCTCCCCTCAATTAAAACAAAATGCACAAAGTACTGCCAACTGTTTTCCTAACTCTTCCAAAATGGAGACGATCCAAAATGATGGGAGCTTTCAGATGGATCGAATCGCATTAAGACACATAAACATTTAAAATCACTTGCAACTTTTTTCTTGCTGTTTTGGGGAAATGTTGACACTTAAGTCATAGGGGTTGTCAGTCAGGATGAGCATATGGCTGTTGACTGCCATTTATGTCCCTTTGAAGTCAAGGCAGTTTTGCTGTTTTGTTTTATTTTTAAGCTGTATTATTATTATTTTCTTAAATTCTAGTTTTTGTAGGGTGTGTGTGTGTGTGTGTTTTGCATGTATGCATACATGCTATGTGTGCACTTTCCTGTGTGTGCACATGTTGGAGGCCAGAGGTTGATTCTGGGTGTCTTCTTCTATCTCCTTTCACCTTAGTGTTTGAGACAGTCTTTCACTGAGCTCACCTGAATTGGATAGTCTGGCTTGCCAGCAAGTCATCCAGGGTCTGCCTGTCTTTGGCTCCCCACCATTGGGGTTTCAGACCTGCACAATCATGCCTAACATATACATGAGTGGTGGGATCTGAACTCAGGCCTTCATGCTTATGCAGCAAAGCTCTTTTCCTACTGAGCAATCCATCCTCATAGTCTACAGCATTGCATCTTCAGCAGTCAGGCCCTGAGCTTCCTCTCGATGTGTGGTCAGGCATCAGGTTCAGCATTACCTGTGCGAAAGGACACCCTTTGGGGATGCCACTTAAATAGATATTGACCTTGAGCTTAGTCCTTAATTTCTGTAAAATTCAGTATCCTTCTTGGTAAACTATGAACGGTAATCCATGTCTTGCAGAATTTACTTTTATTTTGTTAACTGAAAAAAATAAAGAAGAAAGCAAACCACCTATTACTCTCAACAGTCTTACAAAATGAATTATTTTCATTAGCAACAATACCACAAAAGGAAAAGGGGCAGGAAGGAAGGAAGGAAGAATAAAGGAAAGACTCTACACTTCTTTAAATTGAGCAGATGTAGATCCATGAATAAAGCCCTCAGTTTTTTAATCTCAATGAATAGTAAAGGATTTATTCAAAGCAGGCATTGGCTAAGCTGGTAAAATGTGTTCATCCAGAGCCATGTTACCTTCTATTGGCTGGACTCCTCTTGTGTTCTGAATGACTGTGATAGCAGAGCCACATTTCATTAGGTAATGGGATGATGATGAGTCTTCTTTCTCTACTGAGGCTGAGTTAAACGCTGCTTTTCAAACACACTGTGCCAGGCTCTGCTGTTTTATGATCTATTTTCAGTGGCTCTTCCTCTGACCTGAGAACACACACGTGTGCTTGTTCACTGGTGTTCCCATCTGTGCAGATCTGTGATACTCTCAGATTTAATAAGCCTCATTGTATCAACTTTCATTTTCCCTTTCCCATCTGCTGAATATGACAGATGAACTCCTTGAAAATGTTTATCATCTGACTTTATTTAGGATTGCATGGCCACAGATACTCACTTCTTTATCATTTGTCATGAATCTTTCACTTGTTTTTAAGATCACTATTAATTCTACAGGGTTGGGCATTTGGCTCAACATCTGTATCAATAGCAGACATGTGCGTTTTGTAACCATGGAAAATACAAAGGATTGTCTGTGCAAGAATGTAAAACTTGAGAGCTGAGTGTGATGGTGTACATCTGTAACTCCAGCATGTGGGATGCTGAGGCAGGAGGATCCTAGCAAGTTTGAAGCTGACCTGGACTGCAAAACAAGTTCAAGGCTGGCATAGCGACAATGGAATGAATGAGACCCTGTGTCAAAAAAAAAAGTGTTGGAAAACATGTGTTATGCTGTTATAGAATTATAATTCTGAATTCAAAGATAATCATGCTTGCTAATATATAGACCCAAAGCCTAGATTTTGCCTGGAAAAATTAATATCCATGATGGGGGACAGCCAGCTAATAGTTACCTTGAGAACTACACTCTGGAGAGATGACTGTAAGACTACATTGTGAAAGATAATATTGGCAAATGAGCTGTTGATAAATGTTTCCCAGTCTACAGTTAGTTAGCTAGTTATGCTTAGGGTTTTGTGTTGTAGCTCATCTGTAACATAAGTGTGATTGCTGTGGCACTTAAAAAAATTAATTGCTCCAAAACTGAGATTGGTAACAGAACAGAGTCCAGAAGAGAAATAACCAATTAATTATGAATATTGCATTGTATGCTATGCTCAATTTCCAGTTAGAGACTAAGTACAGAGTATCTATTCAATACCTGGAAATAGCTAAGAATCTGGGCCAAATCAGCTGGAGTTTGAGTCCTGGCTCTAAAAATTAGAATTTTTATATGAACTTTGGTAATTTTCTCAACTTAAGTATTAGTTTCCAATTTCCAAAGCAGTAGTGTTAGCCTCAGTATTATGGGTTTTCTTGTTGCTGTGTTGGTATAGTGGCTACTACTGCAGCAATAAATAGGATGTATTTACTCGTTAGGATGAGATTAGACATTGAAACTCATGGCTCAAAATATTTTCTGCATGAAGAAGTATTAAAAGTTCAAACAAGATGAAATATATTAACAGATCATAGAGGACCACATGGTATCACATGGAATGGTAAATGATAAGGCAGGCATATTATAGTTCATGAGCTCACTGCCTGTTTTCATGAGTGACAGTCTACACGGGCACAGTTATACCCATTTACATAGTGTCTACATGTGCCACTTATGCCACAAGACTAGAGCTGAACAGTTGTGACAGATCAAGGGTAGCCCACAAAGTCTAGAGTACTTACATTCTGGTCCTTCTGATCAGTCTCTGGGGGATGCTCCAGGCTCATGTTCATTGTCCCTGAGAAAGCAGTGAGACACCAAACATTTCCTTAGACCTCACTGCAGAGCCTGACTCCATGTTATGTGCATAGAAATGATGTAAGCATCCCATGGTAGAGTAGGCCTTTACTATTGATTTCCTATAACTTCAATAAAACAAGTGATTATATGGGAAAGGAAGGTTGCCTAAATGTCTGTTAACATGGGCATTGTTAAGAGCCAATTACATTTATAAAATGTGGTTCTAAAATTTCTAACCCATACAGACTCTTTTGACTTAGCTCAAAGGTCTCAAAATTGAACATGTATCAAAACTACCTGGGGGTTTGATTAGAACATTGATTGTTTGACTCAGACAACAGACTCAATAGAGATATTTCAGGGTCTGAGAATTTGTATCTTACTAGTACCTGGGGAGGTCATTGCTGCTATTGTATGGAGCACCTTTGAGGACCAGGTCCATCTAAACACGTTGCACCTCTACAAAAGCCTACTTAAGTCTTCATTTAAGTACACCCAGCCTTTATCAGTGCATCTAGCCTGTCTTTACTCTACACTTAACATATTGTCTGCATTCATCAGTTCCCCTGCCAACCTGGTGGGTGAGAAGCTTGGCTTGAAGGTTGTCTTGTGTCTGTTGCTGTAAAAAATATCTTGAAACTTGAGAAAAAATACATGGGGGCTGGGTGTGTAGCTTAGGGGTAAAGTGCTTGGCTAGCTAGCACAACAAAAAGAATAGGAAAAGAAAACACCCATGGGTATCCTTGTGGGATGCCCCCAAACACACACCATGAATTTGCCATCATTATTCTTGTCATTACTGAATTCCTACTGAGTGGTCCCAGGTAAGCAGACTCACCGACAGAAATTAGCAGGCAGGGAGTTTATTGACGACTGGTCTTGAGTTTCATGTCTGTAAGGAAGGAAAGAATTGGTTAGAAGACAGTTTCTAGAGTGATCCTGAGCTGTGAGCTGTCAGCAGCCAGGGCTCTCAGAGGCTGGAGGAATGGGTACTTAAGTCCTAGAAGATAGATGGTGTCTCTGGGAGGCACACCATAGCACTGATATGGATCCATACATTGATTTTTTTCATAAGTATTTCCACATGTATCTCTAAGAGACAAAAGAGTTTTTTTAAAACCTGCTTTCATTATCACACCCAAACTGAATCTCCAACAATTCATTAGTATCCAATCTGTTCAGCAGTCAAGTTTCCAATTTCCCAGTGAGTATATCTCTGTATAACTATCATTAATTAATTAGTTAATTAATTGATTGATTTACAGTTTGCTTGCTTCAGGGCTCAAGTGAAGTCCATAAATTACAGGCAATTAACATCTTTCAGTTCTCTTTGAAGCTGTAGGTTTTTGATTCATTCTGTTTTCCCTATCCTGATTTATTTGTTAAAGAAGCATGATTGAATTCTGACCTATACGGTTTCCCACAATACAATCTTCTACCCACTTCAAAGTTCCTACTTCAACCTCTCTCGCCCCTTGCAGTACAGCTTCCTCACAGGTTCTGAAGATGAAGGTATAAACACATTTCATGGGGGGTAGTAGTATGTCACACACGTGTGGTTCTTTGAGCCATTCAACAAGCACATTACTCATTGGTAGGAAACCTGAACTTCATTGAATTTTGGAAGTAATAGAATAAAATACAGCAGCATTATCACTTAGCCAACATTCACGCTTGTCTGGTAAGTGGCATGCATCTCAGAACAGCTGTGAATGTGGCCTAACACATTTGCAGATGGCAATACCGTGTCACAATGTCAGAAGATTGAATGCCTTGGATAGACAGTCCTGTAATGACTATGTAAACAAAAACACTCTTCCAGAGTGCAAGGGAATAAAATCTTATTCTTGTTAGGATACACTATATGTTACATAGAACACTAATAATAACCATTCCTTGCTGGCACAGTGGTCATACCTGTGGTGCATGCTTATTATCATAGCACTTAGGAGACAGAGATAGAAGAATTACCATGAGTTCAAAGCCAACTTGACTTACATAGTAGGTTTCAGGCCAGCCAGGGCTACACAGTGAGATCCTGCTTCAAAAACCAAATGCATTAAAAAGTAATATAAAAGACATTCTTTATATTGTTATTTATCTCTTGCCAAGCACACCCTCTATGACTCTATACATCCTGCCCTTTACTCGACAAGCTCTTTTGTGCCCTTACTCATTTTTATCACACATCAGTCTTTACACAATTGTTTGTTGATAGTTCATAATAGATGTTCTAAAGGGTCAATAGCAGAGAGAAACTATATGCAGGACAGAGACACACTGCTGGAAGCATTTTCTACTCCAAATGAACCTGGCAACATTACACAATCTTTTTGAACTTCTTCCCAGGGAATAGCCCAAAGGGGAAGTCAGCAGAATTTAATATGTGTAAGAAGAAATTTTCAAAAAGCTAGGCATGGCCTTTAGAGAGCTATTGGCTAGAGCATAGATCACTCTAAAAGGAAAGAGGATGAGCAGAAGTGCCTTCAGACAACCTGATAGGGCAGCAGGAAGTCTTGTAGGAGGGGCAGGTGATGAAGCTGTAGACAATCAAGACCTAGAGATGAGTGAGAGGAACTGGAGAGTAGAACCGTCATTTGACATCCCCCAAAGGGTTTGACACATAGCCCAATAGCTGCACTGAGCATACATGCATATCATTTGTGTATATATAGGAGATTATGAGACAGAGTGTGTATGTATATAAAAAGGAAACATCCAATGGAGTGTAGTCTGGAGGGGAATTTTGAAACAGCGATTTTCAGTTTAGAGTTCATTAGTGCACTTGGGAGAGCTGTGAATGTAGATTCCCCAGGCTCCTCTTCTCCATGTTCCTGCCTGGTAGGTGAGTGGTGGGACAAAAGCTGATCCCAAGACAGGTATTCCATTAACTTCTTTTCATGTAGATATTTATTCATTTATTCATCAGATTTTTAATGCTTAATTTTTATTCTTGCTGTGAAGGGCTTGGTGTATGTTAAGCTCTACCACTGAGCTATATTCTCAGCTCTTTGCATTTTGATCGAGTCTCATTATGTAGCTAGCCCAGGCCTCGGTTTCATGATCTTCTTGCCTCTGAAGCTTGAATGCTGGAATTAGGTCATGCGCTAACCATGCTTTCCACCCCCCCTTTCCCCAGAGACAGTTTCTCTGTGTAGCCCTGGCTGTCCTGGAACTTGCTTTGTAGACCAAACTCACCTCACAGAGATCCACCTGCCTCTGTCTCCCAAGTGCTGGGATTAAAGGTGTGCGCCACCACTGCCCGGCTACCATGCTTAGCTCCTAAGCAGATGTTTATTGAACAACAGTTATAGGAAGAACTTAATCAAAGAATGCCCCCTTTCTGCCAACTGCACCACACATCTCTCTGTTTCTGCTCCAGGTCTATCTTGTCATTTGTGGGACCACTGTGAGATTTCTTTTGGTCATTCTGTTTCATTCTAAGGTATATTATTGCTAATCTTTGTGTAAAAAAGCAAACATCTCATGGGTCCAATCTTCATTATGGACTATGGAAAACAGTGGGCAACTCTTTCCATTGTGGTCACTTAATAAAGAATTGAAATTGCATTCTGGGCCTTTGGCAGGCCTTCTGCAGAATGTACTCTTATGTATCCATGGGGCTGATAGTTTGATCATATGTCCTTGGACCACTTTTTACCATCTTATTAATTAATTAATTAGTTTATTTATTTACATTTTTATTATGTGTGTGTCATATGAATGTGTGTGCCTGTGGTAGCTGGAAGTTTACATTGGATATCTATGGTGATATTTTATTTGTACTGAAATGTGATTTTATTTGTATGTTAATAAATAAAGTTGCTTGGGGGTCAGAGCTAATAGCAAGCCATAGCAGAGCTGGGCATTCGTGGTGACACCTTTAATCCCAGCACTTGGTAGGCAGAGCTAGGTAGATCTCTGTGTGTTCAAGGATACAGCCAACATTGGAGACACATGCCTTTAATCTCAATACCATAGAAGACCTGGAGGGCTGTACATACAGGCAATGATGAGGCAGTCATGTGTTTGAGTTTACAACCAATGAGAAGGCAGAACAAAAAGTCTATATGAAGACAAACAGACAGGAAGTAGGTCCCTTTCGGAGAGGTCTCTTGGCTAAAGAGGTTAGCTGAAGCAGACAGGTAAGGCTCTTAGCTCTGATCTCTTGGTTTTCTTCTTTGTGTTTGTGTTTCTTATTTAATAAGATGGTTGGTTACATCTACAGATATCTTCCTCTATTGCTCTCCACATTTTGGGGGGCTAAAAGTTTGTTTACTTTATGTGTATACCTATGCACCTTGATTATACATTTATTCACCACATGTATGCAGGTGTCCCCAGAATCCAGAGGAGGGCATCAGGTCCTCTGGTACTGGAGTAACAGGTGACCATGAACTGCATGTGGGTAACCACTGAGCCATCTATCCAGCCCTGCCACCATACCTTTTGAGATAAGATCTCTCACTGAACTTGAATTTGAGGCTCATCAGTTGGGCAGCAAGCCCCCATGATCCTCCTGTCTCCATCCTTTTCCCCCAGGCTGGAGTTGTAGAGCAAGCCACTGGGCCAGGCTTTCCCATGGGTGCTGAAGATCAAACTCAGGTCCTCAGCCTTGTCCAGCAAGCACTTGGCCACTGAGCCATCTCCCTAACCCTTCTGCTTCCTCTCATCTCAGCACTACATCCTTTGGGCTCACTTTCCCCAGATGACACTTGATTGGTAAATCTTTGTTACAGGTTTTACTTCTGTGGGAAAGTCAAATGGAGACAGTGACTAGAAAATAAGTTGATGATCTTAAAGATGAGCACATTGAAATCATTAGGCGTGAGATGTCATGATGCCAGAGCTTTTCTTTATATATTTAACCAACATCAAAAGGGGCAGACGAAAAAAGGAACAGGTGTACAGAAGGGAGAAAAGGCCAATCTCACTGTGGATTGTGTGGGAGACTATGGTTGAATATGTTTCAGTTCATATAGCAAACAGTTTAAAAGACAGAAAGCATCTAAAAGCCCATGATGCAGAGGAACAAAGTGTACTGAGAATGTCTGTGGGGGACCAGGCCCTGACAGGCTATCAGGAGAGACTTCTCTGAGATAATGGCTTTTGACCCATGATTTGAGGGATGAAATGGATTTCTCAAATCCTTTCTTCCAAGACACTTGAGGTACCTTGGTGAATCTGGCCACAATTCTAGCATCGCTTTAGGACTTTTCTTAGATTCGTGGGTACTCAGCTAGCTGCCTGTGTCCTGGAGCTGCCTTTTTTTTTTTTAAGCATCATCTTTTCTCAATAGACGAGAATGTTTCATAGCTGGGTGGCTGATGGACTCAGCAGAGTGAAATTCACTTATAATTTCAGCAAATAACCAGTCAAATAATTCTTATTAATGCTCTTTATTTTGTAATGCTTTATTTACAGGCATTTCCTCTGTTGACATTGACATTTGAACCCTAAGGCTTCCTGGTATAAACCATTTCTGTTTCATGTTATCACCTCACATTGCTTTACATATCTCACAGTGATTTCACTATGGCATCTCATGCAGTCCTCATTGTTGATGTCCTTGTAAGATTCCCACACCTGCTTTGTTTTCTTTCCTCTTGATTTACTTTTGAACCTCTTTACATCTTTCTTCCTTTTCTCCTACCCTTTCTTTATAGCTTTGTTTTTTCTTCCTTCCATCCTCTTTCTGTTCCCTTCTCCACCATCCCTTACCTTTCCTTCCCCTCTCTCCTTCTGTTCTCTCCTTTCCTACTATTCTTAATTATACAATGTATTTTTATTTAGATCTGTATTTATTTTGGTAAACCAGTGAGTTTAACTAGGGTTATTTGAGTGAGGGGTTGGTTATAGAAAGAAGCTATTAATTATTGCAAAGTAAAAATGCTTTGTGAGGATTGTATTAGTTAAGGTTTATACTGCTGTGAATAGACACCATGACCTCAGCAACTTTTTTTTTAATTTTTTTAAATTTTATTTTATTATTTTATTTTATTTTATTTTATTTTATTTTATTTTATTTTATTTTACAATACTATTCAGTTCTACATAACAGCCACAGATTCCCTTGTTCTCCCCCTTCCTGCCCCCCTCCCCTTCCCTCAGCCCACCTCCCATTCCCACCTCCTCCAGAGCAAGGCCTCCCCTGAGGACTGAGATCGACCTGATAGACTCAGTCCAGGCAGGTCCAGTCCCCTCCTCCCAGATTGAGCCAAGCGTCCCTGCATAAGTCCCAGGTTTCAAACAGCTAACTCATGCAATGAGCCCAGGACCTGGTACCACTGCCTAGATGCCTCCCAAACAGATCAAGCCAATCAACTGTCTCACCTATTCAGAGGGCCTGATCCAGTTGGGGGCCCCTCAGTCTTTGGTTCATAGTTCATGTGTTTCCATTCTTTTGGCTATTTGTCCTGTGCTTTATCCAACCTTGGTTTCAACAATTCTCGCTCATATAAACCCTCCTCTTTCTCGCTAGACTCCCAGCACTCTACCTGGGGCCTAGCCGTGGATCTCTGTATCCAGATTCCTCAGTCCTTGGATGGGGTTTCTGGCACAACTATTAGGGTGTTTGGCCATCCCATCACCAGAGTAGGTCAGTTCCGGCTGTCTCTCAGCCATTGCCAGCAGTCTTTTGTGGGGGTATCTTTGTGGATTTCTGTGGGCCTCTTTAGCTCTTTGTTTCTTCCTTTTCTCGTGTGGTCTTCATTTACCATGGTCTCCTATTCCTTGTTCTCCCTCTCTGTTCTTGATCCAGGTGGGATCTTCCATTCCCACAGGCTCTCTTTCCCTCGACCCTCACCCTTCATTACTCCCACTCATGGTCAGGTTGTTCATGTAGATCTCAGCCATTTCCCCGTCATTGGGTGATCCCCGTGTCTTTCTTGGGGTCCTGTTTTCCAGGTAGCCTCACTGGTGATGTGAGTAGCAGTCCAGTGATCCTTGTTCCACCTCTAGTATCCTCCTATGAGTGAGTACATACCATATTTGTCTTTCTGAGTCTGGGTTACCTCACTCATGATGATTTTTTCTAGATCCATCCATTTGCCTGCAAACCTCATGATGTCATTGTTTTTCTCTGCTGAGTAGTATTCCATTGTGTATATGTACCACATTTTATTTATCCATTCTTCAGTTGAAGGGCATCTAGGTTGTTTCCAGGTTTTGGCTATTACAAACAATGCTGATATGAACATAGCTGAGCAAGTGCTCTTGTGGTATGATTGAGCATTTCTTGGGTATATGCCCAAGAGTGGTATAGCTGGATCTTGGGGGAGATTGATTCCCAATTTTCTAAGAAAGCATCATATTGATTTCCAAAGTGGTCACAGCAACTCTTATAAAGGAAAACTTTAATGGAGTGTGAAGCATGATCTTAATTAGTCTTATCAGTATAAACCTGGAATCAGATATCAAGGTAAATGCTGAAAGATCAGAGAAGCAAAGGAGCAGCCATAGTCATTTTTTACCTCTCTGAATCCTCAGACCAAAAGATCTTATCTCCATCTACCTTATATATTCCTGTCTCCACCTCCCGATTGTGCTGGGATATGTTCATTCAATTACATCTTCATTCAATTACATCTTCACCAACTTTCTGTTTTTGATGGGTTCCTTCACTGCCTAAACTTGGCTGTCCTGAAACTGGATCTGTAGACGAAGATGCCTCAAACACAGAGATCTGCCTAGCCTCTGTCTCTGGCTGATAGTAAGCAATCAAATTATTTTATATAATTTTAGTTATTATTATGTTTTATACTCTTTGGGTACAGCTGTGGTCTTGAATAATATCACTAATGTTTTTAAACATTAAAGTAATTAATTTTTGTAAATTGAAGTAGTCACTTTTTGAAGTTTATGGTAGTGGTTTTTTGGGGGACTGAGGCATGTAGTGGTTGGGGCAGGATTTCAGTTCAGAAATATGTATACGCACACATACATACACATATATCTGTATCCATCAATCTATCAGTCTATCAATCTGTCTTTCAATCTATCTATCTATCTATCATCTATCTATCTATCTATCTATCTATCTATCTATCTATCTATCTATCTATCTATCTATCTATCTATCCATCCATCCATCTATATCTATCATCTGTGTGTGTGTGTGTGTGTGTGTATGAGATTTGTGAAGGGTGTTTTTACGGAGATCAAATTCTTGTCCTTTAGGGTTTTGAATCCTTGGAAAAAAATAATGGAGTGAGTTATATGCTGGTAATCTTATACTTTTTTAAGTTTCCTGCCTGTTGTCTAAGAAAATATGACTCAAGGTTTTTACCAAGTTCTTGCTTATTGTATATGAAGGTGTATTGGAAAAAAAATAGTTTCACCTGATTGTTACCTGTCTGAGTAGTAGATGAATGTCTTCTGCAGTTGTGATAGTTTAGAACCAGAATTCCCTGAGACCTTTATAACCATGGTAACCAGCTAGCCATGATTCCAGCCCAAAGATTTTAAAAATGTATTCTTTAAATTTTTTCCGTTTGTACTTCTTTTAAAATTATTATTAAGAAATCTTCTATTCATTTTACATACCAACCACAGATTCCCCCTCTCCTCTCTCCTGCCACCCCAGCCTTCCCCCACAATTCACACCCCCATGTTTATTTTGTATGTGGCAAAGCTGCTATTTACCTTTCTGTCCCACAGAAATGGGGAATGGGGTCCAACGTGATCATAACAGGGTAGATTCCTCAGTGGCCTCCAAAGCTGTTGATTCCTGTAACAACGTGGGTTCTGGGATCAAACTCAGGTGATCAGGCAAAGTAACAGGCACCTCTCTCCTCTGAGCCATCTTGCCCATCCCCCAAACTTCTTATGCAATTGTGCTTCACCTGCCAAGAGCATCTTATCCTAGCCTTGGGGTTGAGGACTGTGTTGACACTACAGCTATACTGTACAAGTTGTGTACTCATTATTTACTTAAAATGTCTATATGCATTTACCTAGGGTTTTACCACCTGTGGGAACTTTTTTAGATTCAATTTCTGATCAGCAAAATTAGCAACCACAGTGACTTACAGCATTATTATGAGCAATAAATGGGAAAATGCACATGGACCTTTTTTTTTTCTTTCTATAATTGGGTCTCATATTACTTGGGCTGATTTGGAGTATGCATACTATATAGCTGAGGACGACTCTGAACTCCTAATCCTCCTGCCAACACTGCCCAAATGCTGGGATTAAAGGTGACTATAACCACACTTGGCTCACACAAAACATTTTGCATAGGTTTTTACATGTAGGAAAAAGTCATTAGTGATATTTATATTTTTAGTCAATAGTTTTTGAATTCTTGCTATGTACTGGTCATGCAGGACATAGGCTAAGTACTGGAGATGCGAACATGTGTTAGATTTTATTTAATTTAGCTCCAAGGAGTTTCCAAAATATGATAAAAAACATTTTCAGATAGCCCATCAGTATTATTGGGAAAAAAAGAGAACAAAACCTAAGTGTTCAGAGTTTTCAAATGCACATAGTTGCAGTGACATTTGCCAGTCATACAGTCTGAGGAAGTGTTTCATTTGGTCACACCTTCATTAGTAACTGATTTCAAGTATGACAGTTCCTTTCAGGTCCCATGTCAGATGCTTGATTCATTCCAAGGAATTATCTTCGAAACAATGACCTACCAAATTGGATGTTAGAACATCTTATCAAGAAACATAATGCCATTAGAGGCAAGTGCTGCTGGTGGGATAATTTAAAGACCCCCTGGCCTTTGGATATAACAGAATAATTTATGGTTAAATTCCACTGGATTCTTTAAATTAGATTCAATGTTATTTCAGCTGAGTCGGAACTTACAGAGCCTCAAGGCACTCAAAAAAGAAAATGGTCAGAAACAGAGATTCAAGGTTACATGTTAGTTTTCCTGAAAGGTATTTGCTGTTTTTAGGGCAAAGCCATGCACAAATCCTGTGGGTGGCTTCATGTCAATCAGCGTCAATGCTTGTTGGTGAAGCTCCATAATCTTCTTTCTTTACTCATAAAAGGACCTTACTGGAAAATTATACTTTGGATTTAAAAATCATACCAGACCATTATCCAATACCAAATGGTCAGCCCTGGAAACATATATACAAGTAACATTATATAAACTGTAATAAGTAACATTATATATACATATATATATATATAGTTATAAATATAACCTTATATTTAAAAATACATCTGTATTTACATATGTAGATACAAATCTACATTTGTATATGATGTATATACATCAGATAACAATGAATGAAAAAGGAGGCCATGAAGTTGAAAGAAAGCAAGGAGGGGTATGTGTAGGGTTTGGAGGGAGGAAAGGAAAAAGAGAAATTTTATAATTGTATTATAATCCCAAATATAAAAGAAGTAAATAAAAAAACAAAACTAAAATGGCTTGAACAATCTGGGTTGATGTTTCAATTTGGGTGGATTTTTTTTCAGTAAACACATTTTAAATGAAACACAATCATATTTCACCTAGCATCACTTGACAGTTTCATCATTAGACCATCATGGAATGCAAACCAAAGTGGTGTATCATAATACAATCCAGGCTATAACACACACACACACACACACACACACACACACACACACACACACACACACACACACACTGGCTCATTCCTCTTTGGGTCACCATGAACAAAATAACACAAGATAGGGTCAAGCTCAAGAGAAAATGGTGCATTGTTGTAGGTATGGATTTGAGTCCCTAGGGTACCTGTTTGAGATTTCCAAGTTTTTGTGCCCTAGAACACAGAATTGGACCAGAGACACTTGGATAGCTGTAGAAACAGATACAGTATATTAAGAAAGCTCTTCTGAGGGGTGAAAATGGGCGAGAGAACCTAACCATAGGTCATGACATCAAGATGCTTTGTGTCATTTTTATAGTTCTGGCCTGCTTTCTTCTGCATTTGCAGATGTAGGGCTTTTAAGGCACACACTCATTCTCTTCTAGATAGCCCTTGGTGGTGGGACATGTTTAGTCCTTTTCCTCAATCATCTGTTTCTTTCATATGTTAAACTCCCTGCCTCCCTGCTACACACAGGGTTTATTTGTGTAGCCTTGTATGATCTGGAACTAGCTCTGTAGACCAGGCTGGTCTTGAACTCACATAGATCTATTCTGATTGCTGGTATTAAAGGCATGTGCCTCACCTGTTAATCTTGATGCCCTCTGTCCCAACTCTGCTGTTTTGCTACATAATCATAAAAGCAGTAAACACAAGGAGTGTGAGGCATTGCTAATGTAGCACAAAAGACTATTTTACAGTAAGGTTCTTTTTATAAGTGGAGTACAATTATAAAATGAATAGTACAGAAAACACATAAACCACTAACAGAGTCATTTGTCACCATTACCCAGAATTATGCATTGTGCATAATTACATTGCTGTACTTCATAAGACCATCAGTGCAGTACGCTTGTTTACACCAGCATCACCCTGAATATGAGAATGATGCATTCTGCCACGATGCTACAAGGCTACAGAGACATAGGCAATAGGAAATTCCAGTTCCATTGTAGTCCTATGAGATTACCATTGTGTACCTGGTTCACCATTACTCAAAATGTCATTGTAAGAGAACCTGGAAAGGCATTCCATCTAATAAGCTAATAAGGTAATTTATACAAAGATCCATGAAATTAATGTGGTAGAAAACAGAAGCTTATGATCCTGGAAGTGTCCTGTTCTCCACAGTAGACAGTCAGAGGCTCTTTCCCCAGGTCCACTTTGCGTAACATTACCTCGGTTGCCCAACTCTTTTCTTTGCTTTAAATGAATCAATATATTAAAAAAAAATCCATATCTAGCTAACCTGTCTAAGGTCAGTGGGAAGGAAAGACAGATAAAGGGATGAGCCACTCAATGGTGGCATGGGCTTTATCCAGGAACAGACCTGAAGAGGGGGCATCTCTAGTCCAAGAACCAAAGAGCCTGTGGTTCACTTGCAGGTAGGCATTCTTACTGGACAGGGAAGGGGGAGGGCAGATGGGAACTGACAAATGTCCTGTTTGGGCTGCAGTTTGCTGTGCTAGGGTTTGTTCATGGGTGAAAGAATGTTGGGTGATGGACAAACATCTCCCAACTCTCCTGGCTAATGTTCCTAGCCATTAATAGGGCAGAGAGGGCAAGAGTCTAGAAGAACAGGTTCCTTTAGTTCTGAGAACGAAATACTTTAGTTTTAAAAGTTGTCATGTGAGTTTAACAAAAATGGTGAGCTTTACAAAGTAGCATGGTTGTGACTCCCATTCAGAACTGTCCAATGTTACTACTATGCCTTTCAGGCTGTTTCTGGCTGCCCCCTTCCACTCTTTCTTCCTTCTGGTGATCAAGGACTTCTTGATCGTGTTACTATGATAATGCTTTTATGTTAACTGTCTCTCGCTTGTGCTTGCTCTGTGCTTCTCCTCTAGGACCTGGCTCTCACTCCTGTAACTGTTTTGAAGGCCAGGCAACAGAAGATGCATTCTACAGAGAGACACATGTGTCCTCTGCTATAAGACTCCTGAAACAATGGACTCTAAAGAATTAAAACTTCTTCTGGAATCCTTTGCATGGGGGAGGGTCTTAGTGAGAAGGTTCATACACACAACAGCTCATCTCAGTGACATCAGCACACCCAAGCTTCCTGGCATTGTTTTCCTCTTTCCTATATGGTTGTCACACTGCTCCAGAGAAAGTGGAGATGATCTAGAGAAGTCTGTGGCTTCCAGGTTTTGCCATCCTATAAATAAATCCATTTTCATTTATGAATTTATTTCCTAATTTTTTAAAACTATAATGAAAGTAGATCATGGTTGATGGACCCAAGTATGTGGCATCACCCTTCCTCTAGGGCCTTGGATCCTTCTCATTTATTCTTTACTGTTGATATCATTCCGTGATTATTCATTTGTCCTCCCCAAGTGCAAGTGAGTGCTTCATGAAGGACATGGGTGTATCTTGGCCATTTTTGTGGTTTTCCCTGGAGAAATGTAAAGAAATATCTATATGGGAAGTAGGGGAGAGGCACCAACAAACTAAGGAAAAGTTTTGTTCATGTCCAGCGTGGTGAACCAATGAGTTTAATAGGGCTATTTACAGGGTGTGGGTGGCTCTCGGGGTGGCTATACCATTGGGAAGTCCCACTGTCACCTGGATTATCAGGGTCTGAGATTCTCCTGACAACCCTAACAGGCACAAGCACCTGCCTCTAACAAGCCAAGAGATAGATTAACAGTGAAAAGTAGAAATGAAGATTTATTGAATGAGGCTGCATTGGGGAGAAGGACAGGAAGATCCAAGTCCAGTTTTGGGGTCCTCCATGAAGTTCAGGTTTAAGCAGAGTGTCAGAGTTATGAGTAGCAAAGAAGTCCTGGTAAAGGTGTGGTCAAGGCCATCGCCAATCCACCATTGTCTGAGCACCAGGCATTCCAGCAAGGCAGCCTTTCTGTGATACAAGTGCCCCTTCTCCTGGCTAGCCTCAGGCTTCAGGCTTTTCCTACCCAGCAATATCTTAGGGAAATTCCAATTTTAGGGGATGCAGTGTTTCAGTATTCTAATGTCCAAAGGGAGGGACACATGTGTCTCTTTCAAAAGTCCTTTTTCCTAGCTGGCAGGAAGTTATACCATCCCTGACATGGTAGATTCAAGAGCAGATGCAACATGGGAAAGTTCTAAACCCCAATTAACCTTCTACCTTCAATATATTTTAGTACTCCTACCCAGAAGATCACATGAGGAGCATAGTGATTAGAATCTCAGGTGAGGGTATGATCGCATCCCACACACTTCTAAGACAGATTGGTTAACATTCTCATCCCCATCACCTTAGATCTAGACATGATTTGTGCTGTTGATGTTGAGCATAACTGCTACAACCTTTCTGTAGGTCTCCACAGCCTGGAGAAAAGAATCACACTTCAGGTGCTTAGATTTCTATAAGTCATGAACATGCTATGCCAGAAACACAGACACCTGTTTGTGTATTTCCACAATGGAAGAATTTGTTCCATAATAACAAACTCACAAGCTATGTTGGTTTTGTTGGTTGCAATTTGCAAGTGTCCTGACTTCCCTTGATGGCTGGCCATTGCTCAACACAAGTTCTTTTATTCTGATATTTTAATTACTTTACTCTCAAATCACACATGACACATCGCACAGTAATTATGTATGAGTATTTGTGTATTTGTGGGTCACAGAATGGCTATCGAAGGGTAAACGAGGCCACAGCAGAGTCTGAGGAGTCCAGAGTTGCAGAGCCTGAGAGCTGACGAAGAGGTAGAGCATCAACACCTACGACAAGATTGGTCAGCTGGGGTCAGGATTGGCTACAGAAGCCAATGTGTGGTGACAATGGTGACCTGAGTGCCATGCAGGAACCAATGTGAAGGCAGGGAGAGAGAACTGACTCTGCAAATGTTGTTCTCTGGCCTTCACACAAGCACAATGGCAGGCATGTAAGCCCCTGCCCTAGACACACACGCACACACACACACACACACACACACACACACACACACACACACACACGCATGCACACGCACGTGCACACACACACACTAATAATGAAGTATTTTAAAAAATTATTTATTATTTTTATTTTATGTGCATTGGTGTTTTGCCTGCATGTATGTCTGTGTGAGGGTGTCAGATCCCCTGGAACTGGAGATACAGACAGATGTGCACTGACATGTGGGTGCGGGGAATTGAACCCAGTCTTCTGGAAGAGCAGCTAGTGCTCTTAACTTCTGAGCCATCTCTCCAGCCCCATAATAATTTTTTTTAAAAAAGAGAGTTCTGGGTAAGCTAAGTCTATGCAGTAAAATTTTGCTTCAAAAATCGAAAACAAAGATAAAAACAAACAGAAAGTCAAGAGACAAAAATGTTACATCTGACTGTAACTTTTACCAGTTAGTGTTAGCAGATAGGAAAGGAATTCTGGGTATGAAGTCATTCATACGTCCACTTGCTTATTCATTTACTAAAATCACTTCTCTAATGCCTAATGTAATGCTAAGCACATACCATGTATTCAAAGAATACATGTTAGCTTGAATTATTCATGTATGCATTCTTTCATTGATTCATCAATATTTATGGGGCAACCTGTTCAGGCCAGACACTGCGTTTAGTACTCCTAGCAATGGTGATCAGTGTGGATCCAGCCTGTGTCCCCCTAGTCCTTAAAATAGCTGATATATTTTAGAGTTTTGCCTCTGAATGGTAGCAGGCCCAATTGTTAAACTTTCTAGTGAATGAACTGTGTAATGAATTTCAATCCTGGTTTGACTTTTAGAATCACCTCAACTGTTACTTAAAAACACCCACTTCTGGGCCCAGCCTCCAGACCAATTAAATTAAAACCTGCAGAGGTAAAACGCAGGCAAAAATACCTTAAGAAACCCTCCAAGATACATGATACAAAGTCCTAGACTGAGAGTTTCCTAACCAACTCCCCACACACCAGGTACGCCACTGTTTTCCATCTACACTCATACCTTGAGGTCTTATCCCACTGTGTCTCAGGATGTTATTTGAGTCAGAATAGAGTCCTTACTGACACAATTAATAATTAGGTCATCAGAGGGCTAGGGTAACAGTTCAGTTAGCCAAGTACCTGCCTTACTATTCTCCCAGAACTCACTTTTTTTTAAGCCAGGTGTGGTGGCCCGTAATTGTGATTTCAGTTTTGGGGAGGTAGAGACAGAGAGAACTCTGGGGCTCACTAATTAGCCAGTCTAACTTACTAAGCAAGTTCTAGGCCAATGAGAGGCTTTATCTTAAAAAAGTAGAAGAGGCTAACACTTGAGGAACAACAGATGAAGCCATCCTTTTGCTTCCATGTGCACACATTCCCCTTCTCCACACAAATTAGATAACTGCAATGAATCTCCACCCCTACTCCAGGGTTCTTCCTATGTAGACCAATTATCAATAAAGTACTACTAAGAAAGTCTGATCCTGAGATTAGACCCTTTGCTCTTGCTGGAGATCTAACATTCCAATTGGGCAGCGTCAATAACCTGGCCCAGAGGCCACCTCTAGGAGGCAGGCTGCTCTTAAGCCATGCTAGAGAGAGGCTGCTATGGCATAATGCTTTTGTACACTGATTTAATAAAATTCTGATTGGCCAGTAGCCAGGCAGGAAGTATAGGTGGGATAAGCAGACAAGGAGGATTCTGGGAAGAGGAAGGCTGATTAAGGAGAGGCCAGCCTGCCGTCCAGGGAGCAGCATGTAATGGCACACAAGTAAAGCCACAGAACATGTGGCAACATATAGATGAACAGAAATGGGTTAGTTTAAATGTAAGAGCTAGTTAGTGGTAGGCAAGAGCTAATGGCCGAGCAGTTTCAATTAATATAAGCCTCTGTGTGTTGACTTGGGTCTGAGCAAACTGGGTGGGGCACAGGAAAACTTCAGCTACAAGTAGCAGATGACTTTCCCTCTAGTGAGGTACTACTGTACTTCTCCTCTGAATTCCCACGCCACCACTGGGCCCTAGACATGCAGTTTTGTGAGTCTAAATGGGTCAGAAAAGTACAACATCCCCTTTCCTTTTTTCTACTTCTTTTCTAAGCATGCTTTCCCTAACACTTTGGGCTTTCCCACCATTTGAGGGTTCCTTTCCCCGAAAGTTCTCCTCCCTGTCATATGACTGCTTGGCTGCCATGTGGCTGACCTCCTTGCCAGCTTAAACGGATAGTTTTCCCCTTCTCTGTTGTCCTCCTCTGGGCAGCTGCTCAGTAATACAGATGGCCTGTTCTGGGGAGTTTTCTCTTTAAACTCTAATAAAACTGTCCTTAAGCTTCCATTTGAGTCCATTGAAACGTTTTTCTATTATTGGCACTAAGCACCCCAGGAGAGGACCCTGATTTCCCTAGTATCATCAGCTGGCCTTAAAGTTGTGCCCATCCTCCTGCCTGAGGGCTGTGCGGTCTTCTGTGATTTATAAAAAGGAACTCTACA